TGTCTGGGACGGGATTGAGGAGTCAGCACTGTGTTAGAGCGCCCCCCTGCCCGAATCTGTGTACGCGGCTCAGAAGGGGGATTAGTGGGGATTTAGAGGGCAGTAATTACCCTTGCCCATGGAGGGTCTGATAATTAAATTACCTTAGCAACCCCGTCACTGCCCAGCCGCACAAAGCCTCCGAGGTCGGAGAGAGTGACATTTTAGAATACGCGAATTTAGTTTATGTCATCGGAAAACATCTTCTTCTGCAGGTGTTAGCTTCTGAATTTTAAAAAAGGTGTGCACATGCATTATAAATGTCACTTTCAATGTAATAACCTTGTTGTAGAGGGTCACACAGCTTCTTCAGAAAACTTCAACTTCAACTACTGAAGCTGTGAGTTCATGTGTCATAAAATATGTTGTGAATTTAACTCGTGATTAGTTATTTATCATCAAATTACTAATGAAAACTACAGTTATCAGAAAAATTATTACATTTGAACATATAACAATGCCTTAAATGACAGAAACCATCTTTGAGAAACATGGAGGAGACAAGGTTTACGACTAACACTGCAGCAGCCACCAGGGGGACAGCCAAATGGCTTGGCTTCACTTTTGGGGGGCTGTCATGTCCATCTTTATAAACGGTCCATGGGTTGAACACACGAGGGAAATGAGCTTCTGTGGACTTTGCACTGAGGAAACTTACTATTTCTATTATGGACAGTTGTGACACAGAGAGTAGATTAGTGGTTCAGTGAGACAAGAGCCGAGTTCAAAGACCAGCGGATTTCGACGGAGAAGAAAAGACAGAGGAGAAAAAAAAAAAGTGAAAGAGAGAGATGCGTGGGAGCAGCAGCAGCTCCCACACAGGAAGAAAAGTCCCGATCTACCACTGAACAGCTCTTCTGCTCAAACTGACATACAAGCCAACAACAACTCCCATGATGCAATGCAATGTCACTGTCACTGCATGAATATGCTCTGAGTTCCTGTCGGGTAATGTTAACAATAAGAACATGTCCACGATTATTAAGTATCACCTCCTCTGCTACAAATTCCTCCCAACGCCAGTGACGCTTCGGGTTCGTCAGAATTTTTTATTCTAAATTCAGTAAGGCATTACTCAACTCGCCCGATGTGTCACATTATGCTGCTTCCTTACTCCACGGATCCATAAGCTGCCGCGGCATGATAACATCCCAGAGCCAAACACTGCACAGGCTGCACAAGCAGCCGTGCGAACACAGACGCACACTGACATACATGTGGAGTCCGACACACGTGAGCAGCCCAGACACACATTCTACACCAGGAGGGGAAGAAATCACTGAAATAAATCAGTGTGTTATTACCTGCCTGTTAATTTACCACAATTATAGGAGATTAATTGATTTTCTGGATTTAAATGCTGATCACACACACACACACACACACACACACACACACACACACACATACATCATGAAATATTCCTTTAAATCAATCAAGCTTTGTCATGAAGCCGACTCAGCCTTATCTTAACACCCACAGATGTACTGGTGAACCTTATGAACCCTATTTTATATGTTGCGATGTTGTGTGATTAATTGTTTGATTAATTCCTGGTTATATTTCTATTTTAAAATCGAATAAGAAAACACATATATCACATATTTGACTCTGAGAAGCAGGAACGAGCAGGTGCTTGTTGAATTTCTATCAGTCGCTGAATCTACTAAACTCTAGAATGAAGAACGTGCTTTGAAAAATTCCAACTAAATATTCTATCAGTATATTCATGTGGTGGATTTAAACAGGGACATTTTTATGGCTGCTTTGAATAAGGAGAGGACTCGTTTTAATATCTTAGTCCACACTACTTCCTTCAGCTTTATAACGCTTTACCGTAATCTCTCCCTCTCTTGTTCTTTATATTCCGATACTGTATCTGTGTGTCAGTCTGATTCCTGCAGAGTAAAACTGTGTATTTTAAGAAACCTATGAGAAATGAATACAGACAAAGGCTCTTGCGTGGATGCATACTGTGTCCATGTGATTACAGCAGTCATGGGTTAGACTGTACAGTGTGTGGCAGCACAACTGCTCATTAAGAACTGACTCTGTCAAGCAGCAGTGTTTTGGGTTGGTGGGGTGGGGGGGGGCATTCAGCCATGTGTTCCTCAGGTCTGTTGAAGATGATTGATGCCCTTATTGTACGGCAGGCGTAAAAAAATAAAAAAATAAAAAATCCCTAAAACCCAGGGGAGTTTCCTTTTCTTTTTTTGTCTTTCTTCTTTTTTTCCCCCTTTTCTTTTCCAATTGCTGCGTTCACTGGAGGGAAACAAAGGGAAGCTGGGAGGAGTGGCAGCTCTCCAGAAGCCAGTCGATCAACAGACATCACATAACCAGGTGCCAATGCCTTCCGCCGCACCGCAGCCCGCTGGAACATGCAAAGTACATGAGCAGCCGGTGCCACATATCGTCCTCAGCACCTGACGGGTGTGATGCTATCAAATTGGCAGATTAGGCCGCCTCATAGAGCAATAATTACAACCAGAGATCTTAATCTCAACCGTGAGAAGGAAAGCAAGAGGAAAGTGGGAGGGCGGGTGTAAATCTCCCAGTCACGTAGGCTCTGTGAAGTCACACCCCACCAACCAGCGATCCCACCCCCCCCCCCCCCCCCCCCCCCCCCCCCCCCCCCCCCCCCCCCCCCCCCCGTTCCCCACCACCAGAAGTCACCTTGACAGTGCCCTTCACAGCCCTCCATCACCGAGACTGCTTCCATGTGACAGATCAGATCTCACAGTCTCTACACACTCTGCTGCGGTTTGACCCAAACGCACATGCTTCCTCCTTTCAAAACAATCACTGGTCAATAAAACTTGTATAATCAGGGAATTCAAATATATTGTCCTTTCACTTCAATCTAAAAACGGGAAGAACAACAGGAAGCAATCAAGCTACGATTATTGATAATAAATGATTGGATCTCAAAATACGTCCTAATTAAAAAGACACTGGATAATTTGACTCACTACACACATGCTGTACAAACAGAGAAATTCAAGTGTGATTATAATGACAGATGGTTGAAACAGGGCTCGAGCCTGTGTGAGCTACAGGGAGAGATGGGGAGTAAAGATGTGACTGCTTCATTTTAGTTAACGTCAAAGAGTTAGCGGAGTCTAATTCACACTTTATTCTCCGTACCTGTGTTTATCCTCAGGCTAAAAGACAAGCCTGAAGGGGAGTAGGTTGAAGAGAGGCATAACTCTAATGGACACTGGTGAATTGCATTGTTTTAGCACAGAGAACTGAGATCCTGCTCAGGACGACAGAAGTAGGAAGTGGAGAAACACTGTTCCCAGTTCATCTGAGCCTAACGCTCCACACTTAGCCTCCCTCTCTGCCTTCCCCTGTCTTCGTGGATGGCGCTCCGCCACTTTGGATATGTCATGGCCAATAAGGATGAAAAATTGAACTGCTCTCCCCGGGTCCCCAGTTGGCACGACGGCTTCGTCCTCCACCTTCGCACACGCCTGGAGGAGGCCCGAGCTCCACGCTCCCAAACAAAATGGGATTTAACAAGGCCAGAATCACTCACAATGCCTCAGTAAATACCCACTGAACCCTGCCTGAACCAGCAGTGGTTGAATATGGACTTCAACATAGAAGTGTGGGAGTGAGAGGATGGCGTCTGCAGGATTGTGGAGGGTTGAATCTGCGATGAAATACAAATGACGAAGCCAGGTTTTGTCAAAACCCATTTGTCAGAGTCGGCCTGAGTAACGTCTCTGCTTTGCCACAGTGGAGAGTTTGATCTAGCTCACTCTTATCTCTCCTAATGCTCCATTTCTAATTTTATTCTCATTTTTTTACGGCAGCTTTCACAGAAATAAACTTAACAGAATGCGTAATGCAGAAATAAAAGCATACAACAACAACAACACAAGCCAGAATTAAACTAAGAAGCACAGGAAACAGATTAAAAAACACCAAGGACATGCAGGAGACAAGAAAAAGATTCTAGAGAAAAAGATTCTCTGCAATTTTCTTTTCTTTTCTTTCCCTGTTGGTCAAAAATGCATTGCTTTTGTTGGCATCTTTTGTGACAACACGAACATTTTTTGTATTTTATCTACATTAATCTTTTACTTATACTTACAAATCTCACATTAATGCAGCCACGTCAACACATTTCCATATAAATATTCATGCGGCTGCGTGTTGACGTGGGAAAACAAAGTCCCTCCTGTATCTTAAGTGTTTAGCATGAGATTCCACATGATTCATTTTGTCTCCCGGTCTGTGCGCTGACAAGTGGACGCACTGCACAGTCGGCTTGTTTTTCTATGAGATATGGTAAAAAATCAATAAGGAACTATTCAGCCGGTGCGTACTTGGACCCATAAGCAATACACTGTCACGGTGTGACAAAAACGCTTCCCAGAAGACAAACCGGTTTTTCATCCACTGCATCTAAACGTCCATAAATTTGCCCTCTGAGCAAAAGTGTCCTCAAGGATTAAAGGAGATATTTTTCTTTGTGAGTTTACGGCCCACTTTAGGTTTGGGTTCCAATAAAATAAGATTTAATTAAATCGCAAGTATGCAAGTATGCAGCTTCAGTAGATCCACACAGAGGAAATACATATTTCCAACATGCTGTTGCATTTTTAGAGAGTAGAAAAGGTCAGGATACGTCATCCTCCTTAATCAAGTCTACCATCAGAAGAAAATATTCTAATTATACATAATCTAATAATCGAGTGCACCCATTTTAATCACTTCGTATTTACCCAGCATGATGTAGGGTGGGAAGAGTCTTTATAGCGAACATGCTCATACTCAAAGGAAAACAATGATATTCCACAGGCACAAATTCATTTTATGGTTCATTAAATTAATGTTCCGTTGAATCTTTGATGAAATATAAAGTGTGAAGGCCAAATAAGCCCTGGTATGTGGAAATCCTACAAGAAGCAGTAAAAACAGATGTTTGTTGCTCTGTGTCCATTGAGACTCACCTTTTAGTTGACGCCGGCTGCAGTTTCTCTTTAAACGCCACCTCCTCACTCACACTCACTCACTCAGATCTGTGGGAGATGAAAACGTAGAGAAAGACCATGTTTACACAAATGACAGAGAAACAGTTTCCACAGCTCAAACTGGCCATGAGACACAAACGAGGGTTTCCTCAGAACCTTCTCAGAATAGAAAACGATGACGCAAAGTGGAAAAGGTAAATAAATGTGTTTTTTTATTTTACATTGAACTGGAGACAAAAACATTTTGCTTGTTATTTGCATTTCATCTTCCTTAATAATATTATATTAGTTTTTAAGTAGATATTAGGAAGTGAAGAGCTCCTCTCTCAATTTTCATGAGAGAGAGAGAGACAGAGAGAGAGAGCAGGCTGTGGTGACAGCGAGCCTCATTACAATCCTGTGCACAAATCAACGACGCGTCATCATTTCAAATGCGCTGCTAAATATGCATGCATAACAAATAGCATGATTGGAACACAGCGAGCATGTCATCGTGATATTAGTCGCTAGCAACTGAGTATTTGCCTTTGTGACTTTCAGCAGCCATCTGCACAAGTTCTTTTGCAAGGCTTCATAGAACACAGCTCCTGTTTCCTGCTGTGTTTTCATATTTGCTCCTCCAATCCTTCTGCTCATCACTTTTTACCACTTCTAACCACAAAACACTGGGACTCCGGATAACAATGGGTCTTCTGAAATATTGCCCTGTTTGCAGGTATTTGTCCTCCTCTCCTATCATGGTCTTACATCTCCTGCCATGCATTCCACTATTGTTCTCCACAATTCAAAAACCCAAAATGTAGGAAATGACATGCGGCACAGAATATAGCTCAAACACGGTAGATTTCAAAATGAAGGGGTAAATATTTTATTCTTCAAAAAGACAAACAATAGAGGGACAGGCTGGCAGAAAGGACCTTTGTCTGTCACTGAGTGGAACCCCCCCCCCATATCTCAAAGATATTTAGCCTTGTATGAGTCACAGTCTTGGATCATTAAGTTCTCTATCACGTTAAAGGACAATCATGGACAATATAGACCCACTGACCTCGATTCTGCACTGTACCACCATTTATTTCCATGATGTCAAAGGAGACGTATTCTGCTCATATTCAGGTTCATCATTTTAAATTGTGTTATTACTAGAAAAGCTTTGTATCCTTTGTATCTGCTGAACTATTGACGGAGCATTTCAGGAGCTTCAGGAGTTGTATTTTCTGTAGCCTAGCTTTAGGTCATTCCATACAGGAAAGCCAAACAATAATCTAGTGGGAAGAACGACTCAAAAAGCAAAGTGTGTCTCCTTTAAGCATTTACCTTATTATTACTACGAGTTGTTCTTAACTCGTCATTATTCATAAAAATAGTATTTGAGATGTGCCATCATTCCACCCAGCTTGCTTCTTTCATTTATTCACTGTAAACATTCTAAGAACAGGATCACAGGCTAAGAGGAATGTAAAAAGATCCCTGTTATGGAAACCAAGCAGATGTTGGCCAATTTCTGAGGCTGCAATCATGCAACCACATCCCATTCCCTTCCCCGACCTGGCTCTACACTGACTTCACTCGCAGAAATGACATTCATTTCTCTCACGGCAACCGCAGATATGGCAAATGTAACATGCGGCGCAATCTCCATGCTCAACAACCTGTGCAGTAGCTTATGTAACGACGTGTTGAGGAGGCAAGGACACAATCTTCAGATCAGAGAACCAGAGGGGGGGGGTTGAAGACACTCGACAGGAGAGATATTACCACAGTAATCTACACTGAGGGGGTGAGCTGTAGAGCACGCTGACCTTGAAGAGTTTAACCTGCCAATCAAAAGAGTGTTTCTCCTCTCTGACAGGCAGCGAGGCAGAAAGCAGAGCCCCAGATATGTCAGCTGGGTCCAGATGTATAAATGATGCGGAGACACAAAGACAATGTGTGCGCCACTTTCCACACCGCAACTCGGCAGTGATCTAGATAGAAAACACACACCAGAATGTGCTTTGTGTTACGGGTATCTTCACGAGTGATGGCTGAGAATGTATTAGTTCAAAAGAGTAATGTCGTGATCAGAAAAACAGGAAAACTGCAGCTCTCTTATTCATTTCAGTCTGTAGTCACACTCACCTCTACCCTCAAGGACGATCGTGTATTTGTTGACAGAAAACGTAGAAGACTCAACATTATTGAGGCGTAGTAAACATAGAAAAACATTTTTCCAAAAAGCCTTTGGCAAACCGTGTCTTATTACTACAAAATGCCACTGAATTGCTTAGCAACTGTTTCCCAGCATGCCTCTCAACGGCCATGCTCCACCGTGCGGCACATATACATAAGGAAAATCTCTATGTGCAAAGGTGTCCACCAGGCCGACCATCTGCTCCGAGGAAGACACTTCCCATGGTCAAACAGTGAAGATATTTAAAGCATCATTTTCAAAGCGTCCAGAATGTCTCTAGATTCCTTCATTGCTTCACATAACTTACATTTTTCTGCATCTGCATCTTCCGTTATATTTAAATTCTAGAAAAAGCCACTGAACTATTTGAGGTTGAACTTTCAAACTAAAGAGTCGACTGGATTCCGCAGCTGGTGAGATGTTGTGAAATAAGACGTCTGGCACTTCAACGCGCTGCACGCTGTCATTCCATTCCGACTCTTTTTTTTTTTTTTGATCCCCCCTGCTGTCTATTTGCCATATGCAGTCCTTCACCCTTTGTTGTCATCCAGAGGCGTCGATCTGCTGCTGTCCGTAACAACGTTGTATTCAGTATAACACTTGATTCGCTGAAAACATCGAATGACTTCAAACAATAAATGTTAGTGGCGGCGAGACTGACAACAGAAAAGAAAAAGTGTGACACCCAGTGAAGCTGTAGCTGGAGACTTGTGTTTTTATCAATTTTGCAGTTCTATTTTTGAAGGAAAACTCAGTATTCCCACATGACCCCCCCCCCCTTCAATCCACCACCATACTTTATCACACCAAAGAATTTGAATCAAGTCGCGGGTTGAAACATGCTACACCTGAGTAAAACACTGACTCTGCAGCAGCTGTGGAATTGGTGGATGAGTTATTCTGTTTTGACACAACAGAAATACAATGCTCTCTTTCTGCTGCTGACGGCTGCTCACTGTGGGAGTAATTATGAATCCAAGACATCATGTTGAATGGTTAAATAGAGCCTGACTAATATGGATATTTTTGTGGTCAAGGCCAGTACCAATATTTGAGAGTAAAAGCATTAACATAAATAAAACCAAATAAATAGAACTTGAATTAAGACAATAAACACAAATACACATCTTTGCTCCATTCTTAAAAAAAAACTAAATTTTTACATTAGCTCATATTGGCAATCATTAACACAGTTACCAATATGTCAATCAATTGTAAATACTCAAAAGCATTTAGCAAATTCATAATCATCCTATACATAGATAACAACCTCATATATAAAGCCCATAGGATAATTGTACATGATACAAATATCATAAATGCAAATCCTCTCTGTTTGAGTTCAGTGCATTCACTTCAGCCTCCCACAGTTTCTTAGATGCAGCTTTGCGAGCCCCCCCCCCCCCTTCAGCTTCATGCACATTTGTGTGCACACACGCCAAAGCTGCAGGGCCACTCCTGCCCAGTCTGTTTCTATGAGACATGGAAACAGGGATCACAATATCTCCAGCGTGGGCCTTTATCCCGGTGGCAGTGATGTCCTGCACAGACGCTGCCCTCTGAACAAACAAGATTACCTTGATGAACAGAGGCAGGCTTGTTTACTCCCTGTGTCAAGGTACTTTGGGGGTGACTCACTGTCAGCGAGGAGGGGAAACTTTAGAGATGAGATGCTGTTTGCAGGTATCTGCTGCACTCACAACATGACTCAGATTCTGTAAACCAGCTTCTCAAATAACCACTGCTTCTCAGGTCACAGCAGGGTGACGACCAATTATGACTCCCCGTTTTTCCCCATTTCAGAAAAGTGTATTTAACGTGTACATTGAATTTTTAGTCAGGTCCATGTCCCATCTGCTAACATGGAGGAGACAGCTTAATGACATTCCCAGCAGCCAGCCACAGATGATTTGCCTTCACTTGTCATGTCGTCCATCTTTACGGACAGTCTGTGATTTGCAGGCGAGTATTTAGCAGCAGGTCGATGAGTGTGAGGTGGATATAAAATAAACTACAGCTCCCATGTTCCTGATAACGAGGAAACATGGCAGAACAACCGTGTTGCTCACTGATGTGCTTTTAATAGTGTTCGGAAAACGATCAAGTTCTCTTGCACGCAGGAGTAAGCTATGAGGCTGTGGCTACACAGGCAATATGTGTTTACAGCCGAAGGTCACTGATTATCCGTCCTTTTTAAAGGAATGTATTTACAGAAGAATAAATATGGAATATACCAAACTCATGCGCTGAGGAAAAATAAGTGAGTTTTACCAAGACAACTATGAAGTGTTTAAGTTGTCGACCTTCAACGTGACACAATCAGTGTTTCAGCAGCCAGTACTGCACTGAAAGAAAGGTTTCTTACTTTTTTTATGGATGTAATCATCCTAACACTAAACTCAGAAGCTTGAGCCTGCTGGTGCAACAGTTGTGATGCAATACAAAAACTTTGTTTCTCAAAACCCATGTGGAAGAAACACGCCGCTGTACAAGCCAGTGCTCTGCCAGGCGATGTTTGTTGTGTCACTACAGCTGCGCTACACACTCTATATAAACATTGTTCATGGACTGGACCAGTTTAGGTCACATATGATCATGATGGATGTCGACATATGTCTGGTCTGCTGTGCAATCGCTGGAGGAAGAGAGATAGCTGTGCGCTTGGTTGGCAGACCGCCATTTGAGAGTGGGCTCCATCTTGACTAAGGATGGCTGATCCCTATCTCATTCTCTGTCATTTCCCACACAGGTTTATCCATTTACTGGAGGCCTGTGGTAAAATGACTGTTAGTAATACACGTGCCTGAAGCTTCACACTGAATCCCTGAGGGCATGGAATATATGAGCAGGAAGGCTACATCATAAACAAGAGATT